TCCCTCCACCTTCTGGAGGTCCTCTGTCAGGCCAGCCCCGTCAATCCTCTTGACTTGTGGGGTCGAGGGGGTAGCTGCTGAGTCCTGGGGCTGCTTTCTCTACAGGTCACCCTGCCCCACCCCACCCCGCCTGCCCCCCAGCCCCCTATGAGATGAGTGACACCCAAGACCCTGCCACTGCCCCTGCGGTTGCCACCCAGGTAAAGCTGGGGGGCTGGAGCCGTCAAGGCGTGGGCAGTGGGTCTCTCCGTTCCCCCCAGCACCAGGAGCTCCAGGCCTTCCTCAGCCTTCTGGGTGAGTCCATGAGGGGGCTGGCACGGGAGGGGCTGTGGGGACCAAATGTGAAACGGATGTGAGTGGTGGAATCTTAACCCTCCCGTGCAAGCGCCTGAAGTCTCCGTCTCTTCCCTTCTCAGGAGACCCCGGTTTTGGGCGGGGTGGGGGGGTTGTGTCAGAAAGCGAGTTCCGTGGAGGCTTGGCCTTTGAAACTTCTGATGTCACTCTTGTCTTGTGGGGGCGGGTGGTGACCCCAGTCCACCATTCCTCCTCTCTACCCCCAGAGCACAGTTTCCTCCAGGAATTCCTCTCCAAAGATCCCTGTTTCCAGATTTCGGATAAGGTGAGGGGGCACAGTGGGGGTAGAGGCGGGGGTCACTGGGGAAGGTTGAATTAGTGGGGCTTGAGTGCTGCTCATTCATTGGCTCCCCTGGGCTGGTGGAGGGAGCGCCTCCCTTTTAAACCCTTGTCTTTCAGGCCCCTCCACCATGTTACTGAGGTTTTTCTAACCCCCACCAGAACTTCCTTGGGTGCACACAGGCTGGTGCAGCCCCCCCACCCAGGGCCTCCCTAACCTCTCTGTGTCCCATCTTTGCAGTACCTCCTGGCTATGGTGCTGGTCTACTTCCAGCGTGCCAACCTGAAGCTCTGCGAGTACACCCACAGCAACCTGTTCTTAGCTCTGTGAGTGGCCCCAGTGGGTGGTGGAGACGCTTGGAGCTGTAGGATGGGTCAGGGCAGATGCTTCTTATGGCAGATGCTTATTATGGCCCCCGCCTCTGCGGCCAGGTACCTTGCAAATGACATGGAGGAGGATCTGGAGGACCCCAAATGTGTGATTTTTCCGTGGGCCCTGGGCAAAGATTGGCGTCGTCGCATGTCAGACTTCCTGCACCAGAGGGACAAGCTGTGGGCACGGATGGGCTTCCGGGCCGTCGTGAGCCGCCAGTGCTGTGAGGAGGTGAGGACCAGCCAGCCAGCTGGCATCCTGGGGTCGGGGAAAGAGGCTGGACCTCCCATCCCCATTTACCATCCACTCTACTCATGCCAGGTCATGGCCAAGGAGCCGTCCCACTGGGCCTGGACTCGGGATCGGCGCCCCCACCACGGCAGGGCTCAGAGGAGCTGTCCAAAGGCCCAGGTTCCCCTCCCCCGAGGCCCCGGCCTCTCACCACCCCACTGTTCCCTCTGTGGCTTGCCCCCTCACCGCAGCCACTGCTGCCACTACCCCTGCCCCTTGCCTGTCTTATCCAAGTGCCCTTCCCCAGACCCCGAGTGGCGTCGCGCTGCCTGCCAAGCCTGTGTCTCAGTGCCTGAAGACCCCTGGGGTGGGGGCTTCCTCATCGTCCTGCCGCTCCGGCTGCAGCTGGAGCCAGGCACCTATACCCTCCACCGTGAGTTGGGGACAGGAGCTGAGGGTGGCCTTGGGAGCCCAGGAGGCGGGTATGGGGCCCAACAGAATGAGAAGGAGGGGCACGGGGCCTGGGGTCCAGCAGGCCTGGGCACCATCCCAGCTCTGCCACCTCCTGGCTGGGTGAGCTTGACAAGTTTCCTCTCTGAGCTGCTCTCTGTCCTTCTCCCCCTAGTTTTCCCAAAGCCTCGGCAGTGCCCTGGGCGCTGACACTCACTTGCAGGGTGAAGAGCAGCCTGCTGGCTTGCCCGCTGACCCAGCGCTCTACTGCCTGCGCCCCTGTGGCCTCCTGTCTATGGACCTCAGGCTGGCAGTGCTGCCCATGCCCCCTGCCCCCTGCTCCCAACTTGCAACTGTACCCACTCTGACCGGGGTCCCCTCTAATAAACTCGTGTCCACAGGACACCAACTGTGCTCAGGCCCTGGCCTGGCTCCTTGACCCAGGGTGGGAGTGGGAAGGGAGTTGGGGGGAGAGGGGGATCTGCCAGGTTGAGGTGCCAGTGGTTGAGACCCATGAGCTCAGGCTCTGGAACAGCTCTTCCCCTTCCCATTGGTGGCCAGTCGTCCTGAGCCTCAGTTTCCCCTCTGTGACATCACCTATGGATGATGAGATCTACACAGTGTAGAGGGGATTGAAGGGGACAAGGTGTGTGTGTAGTCCTTAGAAGAGGGCCTGGAACCTAACCTATTGGACTAAAAAGCTCAAATGGAAACAGCTCTATAGTCAGTCTAGAAATGCCTGCAGGGCCCGGGCTATTTAGAAATAAGACTTAGTCCTTGCCCTGGGCTGCAATCAAACATAATGTAATTATTATAATACAACCCCCCACAAAAGTAAATTTGTTAATGAGGGAGCATGGAAGGCTTTCCAGAGGGTGGCATTTGAACTGGGCCTGAACAATGTCAATTTTGCCCATGGCGGGGCAAGGGGGAAGTTGTGAGGAAGGATATTTTTGGAAAGACAGTCTAGACTAGTGACTAAGACTTAGTCTCTGGTGCCAGACAGCTTAAGTTCACATTCCAGGTTCCTGTGTGGCTTGGTATGTAATTTGGTATTGCCTCATCTGTGAAATGGGTCTATACTAAAATGGGTGTTATGAGATTTGAATGAGTTAATCCCTAGAAGAGTTTAGAACAGTGCCGCTGGAATAGAGCTCAGTGAACCAGGGTGTAGAGGGAACTGCTGCCTAGAGGGGAGGGTGTGTTGGGGAGAGGTAGAAGGAAGACGGAGAAGGCTGGAGAAGTAGCTACAAGGGTCAGATGGCAGAGGAATCCCCTGCATACTCAATGAGTGGCTCCCAAGGAGCGAGGTGGTAAGAAAGCCTGGAGATTGCGGACATTAGAAGCCAAGACAAGGGCTAGGAAGTATTTTTAATTTGTTTTTCAAATAGGTAATATCTTCACATGTACATTTTGCATTTTGAACTGAGTCACCACCTACCCCTGACTCCCGGCCACCTGGTTCCCCTCCCTGGAAGCAGTGAAAGTAACAATTTATGTCCTTCCAGAGAAAGAATCTAAACATACATAACCAAATGTGGTGTAATAAAAAATATATATATATTTGGTCTTTGTTCCTGGTTTCTGGCACAGAGCTCTTAAAACCCTTGGAATCTCCTAAGTGATAGGAGTATCTTTTGTTATTCATGATGAGCCCCTTTCAACCACATCTGAGTTTCTGCTAATGAGGTGACTCAGGGTAGGGCCCCTACAGGGCTTCAAGGTGGGGGCTGGTCACCAGAAAAACCAATCTAGTGGGTGCAGAACTTTGAGCTCCCCCACCACCTCCGGGGAGGGGAGAGGAAAGGGGCGGGGCTGGAGATTCAGAGCGTTTCTGGGTTGGTGAACAGAGATGTGCTGGGAGGGTGGCTCCCCGGAGAGGGCACTCCCCCCCCCCCCCCGCCCCCTTGCCCTATGCATCTCTTCTATATGGCTGCTCCTGAATTGCATCCTTTATCCTAAACTGGTAATAGTAAATAGAGCACTTGCCTGAGTTCTGTGAGCCTTCTACCAAATTATCAAACCTGAGGAGGGAGTCATGAGCACCCCCAAATTTGTAGTTGGCCAGACAGGAGTGTGGGTCACCTGAGGGTCCCATTTGTGGCTGGTGTCTTGTGGGACTGAGCCATTAACCTAGGGGTCTGGGAATTAGTGTCAAAACTGAATTGAATTTTAGGCACCTAATTGGTGTTGGAAAGTTGGAGAATTGATGTAGAAAAATCACCTGTATTTGGTATCTGGGAAAAAACACATTTGGTGTGAGAAGTGGTGTCAGAAAAAAGACCACACCAGATATGTATATATGTCCCATCTCCTTTTTTCAAAACTGAAATGGAAGAATTCCATGCATCCTGTTGTGTGCTTAACATATTTTGAAGATGGTTCCTTATGCATACATTCCTTTTGACAGCTGTATAGTATTCCTCTTTATGGATGTACCACAATGTAACTTGTTCCTTCTGATGACATTTAAGTTTCTAGACTTCTGCTATTCCAAACAGTGCCACAGAGTGTCACTAAGACCTTGTAAGGAAATCATTATGCAAATGTGGAAAGATATCTGTAGAATGAATGCCTAGAAGAATTGCTCAGCCAAAAGCCAAGTGAGAATTGTCATTTTGATGATTTTTGCCAAATGTCTCTCTATAGAGGCTATGTCCATACCACACCCCCTCCCCCCAGAAGTGCATGTAAAGATGGTTTTCCAGAGCACTCACCAATCAGTGAGGTACCAGAATTTTTATCTTTGCCAAATTGATAAGTAGAAAATAGTGTCTTGGTGAAGTTTTAATTTGTTTTTCTTTTGGGTGAACTTAAGCATTGTTTCATGTTTAAGAGCCGTTTGTCTTCTTTTCTGTGAACTGTACTTGTCTTTGCCTGTTTCCGTACCGTTTTTGGTTTCTGATTGACATATAAGGGTTTGAAGGAATAAAAGCCCTTCAAGATGTAAATTGTAAGTATTTGCTTCAGTTTATCATTTTGACTTTGCTGGATAGGCTTTTTAATGTAAGAAGATAAATTTTTTGTGGCTTCTGGGTTTTGTGTCATAGTATAAAAGACCTTTTCCACACTGAGATGACGAAAAAAACTTCTCCCTCAGCTCCTGGCTGTATTTTTGGTTTCATTTTTTACATTTAAATCTTGAGTTCATCTGGAATTTATTATATACAAAATTCCCTCCTATTTTCCTAATGCCTTTTATTGAAAAACTCATCTTTTTGCAACAAATTCGAAACTCTATTTATATTATATACTAAATTTTTGTATGCATTTGGACCTATTTCTAGATTTTTCTATCTTCCAATGATCTATGTCTGTTTCTTTAATTATTACATTTAATTATTATAGATCTGTCTTTGCTACCTCTCCAGAGCATCTTCCCTCCCCCAGGCCCCTGCTCCCTGTGATCCAGTCACAAGAAACACTTGGCAGTTCCCCTCATTGGTGTATTCCCCCAGCCTCTGGATCTTTGCTCATGCTGTTCTTTCTCCTAGGCACACCCTCACCAGCACCTCATTGCCTAGTTAACTCCTACTTGTCCAACAGGACTCAACTTCCTTAATCCCCAAAATTGGACCAGGAGAGCCCCCTCTCTGCCAGCAGGGGCTGGTCTGCCTTACTCATGGGTCTCTGCTGTACAAAGACCTGCCAGAAGGGTTAGTCAAGATTGGACACATAAATGCTGAATGGTGAGGAGCACAGGGCTCACGCGCTGGTTCCAGCCCTGACTCGCCAGGTGAGGGAGCTGAGCAAGTCCTCTGTTTTCCGCATCTATTAACTGGGAGTGAGAATGGCGTCAGATCAGATCAGTGGCTCTTAACCTTCTTGGGGTCGCGGGCCCTAAAATCCTAGGAGAGCCATGCACTGTTTCCAGCAAAATGCTAGTGTATACATCCTGTAAGAGCTGCAGCAGCTGCTGGCCGCGGCCCCCAGCCTCGGTGAAAAGACCTGAGCAGGAGGACCACCGCAGCCCCCCTCTCCGATTCCTGGCTCTCCAGCTCCTTGCAGTCGCGGAGGCAGGATCTCCGGGTCCTGGGTGGGCCTGCCGTCCTGCTCGAAGCCTCTGCCGCCCCCTCCTGGGTAAGGCGGCACAGGGTGCTCCCAGTGGGTGGGCCGAGGCCTTGGGGAGAGGGCAGGGATGGCCACCTCTCGCAGTTTCCCGGTTCAAGAGACCCCAGAGCGCGAGAGAAAGATGGGCTCCCACAGTCGCTCATCTCCATCCCACTCGCTGCGTGAGCCGGCAAACCGAGGCCGAGAGAGGCAGGGACTCAGCCAGGGTCACGCGGCCAGCCTCGGCCTGGGGGCCTGATCCCCGCGCCCCGCCCGGGCGCACGGAGCCGCCAAGGCCGGGTGGCGCGCCCCGAGCGTGCGCCCCAGGGCGCGGGAGTGGGAGGGGGAGCCGGCCCTGCCCAGCAGCCAGGAGGGCTGCGGCGCGGCCCCGGCGGGTGCGGCTGCCGTTCGCCCAGCGACCGGCAGAGATCCGCTCGCCGCCAGCCCGGCCGGCCCTCCGAGCAGCTGCCGCAGCCCGAGGTAATCTCGGCCCCGCGCTGGCGCTGCGCTGGCGGGGGCGGAGGGTGGGGACAGCTGCGGCCCCGCGGAGGAGGGCCCGGGGGACGGGCCGGGGGCTGCAGGAGGCGGCGCCGCCGCGGCCAGAGCGCCCGGGAATGCCCTCCGGGGGCGTCGCGTGGGGTGGGGCCGCCCGGCCCTGCAACTCGAGCTGCTGCCCCTGGTTAAAAATACCCCTGCCCTGCCCAGCCCCTCCCCCGCGGTGCCCTTCCGTCCCGGCCCCAGGCCTCCCACCCCGACAGGCGCTGGCCCCTCCCCGGGGACGACTCTGCCTTTTACTAATTTGTCCTCTCCTGGAGTTGCCCGCGGGCCTGCGGAGGGAGGGGCGGGGAGACACCGAGAGTAAGAGAGAGAGTCAGAGAAGGTGCCCTAGAGATAAGGGAGAGCCGAGAGGAAGCAGGGTAGCAGCCCGAGGAGGAGGAGGAGGACGGAAGGAGGGAGGGGGGAGGGAGGGAGGAGGGCGGAGGGGCCCGAGGAGGGCGGGGAGGAGCGCTCTTCCTGGTTGGGCCCTGCCCTGAGCTGCCACCAAGGAAGCCAGCCGCAGGGACAGCAGCGACCCTCCCAGACACTCCTCCCCCAGGTAAGGAGCTGGGTGGCCGGGCCAGGATTCTCCGACTCCGGCCACTGGTCCGGGGCTGAGGGGCTGCCCCGTCCCCCTGCCCTCTGAGTGCCTGGGACAGGGACAGGGGCGGGGGTTCGGGAAGCCGCACAGCCCAGGCACCCGCCCCAGCCTGCGCTCAGCACTGTCTCCAGGGGCTGGGCTGGGGGAAGGCCGGAGGGGAAGGCTCTGAGGCCCTGGTCACCTCGTCTGTCTCCGAGGCTTGGGGAGGGGGACCCTGACTGCCTGGAGTTCTCAGTCCCCAAGCCAGGAAAAGGGGCCAATGTGTAGGATCTTGGCTAGTTTGGGGAGGGGTTACAGGCAGCAGGCAAACAAGGTCAGACGCCTTCCCTGGGGTCTCTACTTTCCCGGTTCCCTGTGTTATTATCTCCGGGCTCCGCCCTGCTCCACCTGCCTAGCTGGCTGACCACAGGACTGCAGGCCCAGGACAATGGGAGTGTTGGAGAGGAGAGGTGGTGGCATTGTGTGGGGGTAGGGAGGTGGTGGCATTGTGTGGGGGTAGGGAGGTGGTGGCCAGCACATCTGGGGGCTGGGAAACTCCTCTCCTGGATTCTGGGAGCCTAGGGAGGTGGGCAGGTTTGGGGAGGAAGTGTGGGCAGAGACAGGCAGGAGCCCCAATTCTAGTCTGGGAAGGCCTGTGTTCTGAGCAGGCGCATCTGCCCTGCAGGATGGCTGAGGAGATCATCACTCCGGTATACTGCACTGGGGTGTCTGCACAAGTGCAGAAGCTTCGGGCCAAGGAGCTGGGCCTGGGCAGCCATGAAAACGCCATCAAGTACCTGGGCCAGAATTATGAGCAGCTGCAAACTCAATGCCTGCAGAAGGGGGTCCTCTTTCGTGATGAGGCCTTCCCCCCAGTGCCCCAGAGCTTGGGCTATAAGGACCTGGGCCCCAACTCCTCCAAAACCTATGGCATCAAGTGGAAGCGTCCCACGGTGAGAGGGGCCACCCGGGGTGGGACTCAGTTTACCCTTGATCCTGGGTGAGGACTGGGTCCGAGACTCCAGGTCTTAGTGGGCAGTGGGGTCTGGGGTGGCTGGGTTTCAGTGTCTGGGAGGGGCCAGCCCAGAGACAGGACTCTAGGTCTCTTGCAGGAGCTGTTCTCAAACCCCCAGTTCATCGTGGATGGAGCCACCCGCACAGACATCTGCCAGGGAGCCCTGGGTAGGCCCTGGGGGATTCTGAATGTTTTTTCCTTAGTAGCTCCCCATGCCCATTCCTTCCGGCTCTGCCCAAGCCCCTCCCTCCTGCAAGCTCAGACAGGCTCTGGCTGTCAGTGCTGGGGCTGGTTTGCCCAGATTCCTGGGTCTTTTCTGTAAGTCGAGGGAACCTCGGTTTCTCCCCAGCATGGGCACTCATGTGCACCACTGGGGGCAGATCGTAGAGCAGGCCTGACGTGGGTCCCTCCCATCCCAGGGGACTGCTGGCTCCTGGCTGCCATCGCCTCCCTCACCCTCAATGACACCCTCCTGCACCGGGTGGTTCCTCACGGCCAAAGCTTCCAGAATGGCTATGCCGGCATCTTCCATTTCCAGGTAAGGGGCGCCGCACCCACCTGGGGCCAGGGGGTGGGGGACAGAGGGGTACAAGCACTGGAGGAGGTGAGGACTGATGAGGCACAGCAGTCTGAACTTAGGGTGGCTCAGGGCCACACCCTGCGGGGGCCACCCTCCTATAAGGTATTTGACCTCTCCTTGCCTCTTGGATCTGTCATGTGTGAAATGGTTGGGCAGGTATTTCTCTGCTGGCAGATTTCCTGGGTCGTTGTGCGGATGCAGGAGAAAGTGCTTGGAAGAGTAGAAAGATCTCTGTTATATCCTGTGGGACAAATCCTTTTCCTCCCCAGGGTCTGTTTCCCCCATCTGAAAAAGAAGGAGTGTTCTGCTGGGGAAAACAGACCAGCACATGTGGCATCTCCACCCTTGGCATCAGTCTCCCCCTCACCCCCCACCCCTAAGTCCTCCTGCGCTTGGGCAACCTCCAGCCTCTGACAGAGCCCTGCAGAAAAGAAAGACTCGCGATTAAGTCTATTTAAACAAGCTTTTCCTGACCTTATTTGCGCACAGCGCCCATTTTTGAAGTCACACTAATGAATTCTCAGTGAGCTGGTGTTTTGGGAGAGACACAGCCCCAGGAACCTGAGATGAGCCCCTCTGGCCCCGGTGGCCCCAGCCCTGCCCCCGGGACTCCTGGGTGTCCTCTCCTTCAGCCTAGGCAGGCAGCCGTTTACCCTGCTCCATCCTCACCCGCCTTAGGGCGGAGGAGACGGCCTACAGGACCACTGGGCGGCCTTTGGCCAAGTGCCCCACCTGCCCGCGCTGGCCCGCGGGGGTGTGGCCTCTCCGCCCTTTCCCCGCCCCCTTCCCGCACTCCTCCAATCCGCTCCTCCCTGGTTTCTGATTGGCCCGTTCAACACTCCCCCACAACCCGCGCTACTTGGGCCCATCTCCTCCCTTTAGCCCATCGTTCTGCACCATCTCTGCCCCCCGCCCCACCCCACCCCCCAGCAGCACTTGGTCGCTTCTGGCTTCAGGCGCCCGACTCCTCCCACCCTGGGCAATCGACCCATCACAGCATCTCTGAAGCAAACCCCATGATTGCGGGAACTCCGCCCGCCCATTTTGTAGGTTTTGTCCCACACCTGATTTACATATGCATCCCCCCCACCCCGACCCCCTCCACACACTCACCCTGGCCTAGAATGGGGAGAAGAGAGGTAGGGGGCTGGTTCCCCATACCTGGGGAGACATCTTGGTCTGTTTCAGAAATACCGATAGCGCTGTCCTAGAAGCTCTGCTTTTGTGATCTTCTTTAGTTTAACGGTGAGGAAGGCGCTGCTGTTCCCTTTTACGGGTCGGGAAACTGAGGCTCGGAGAGGATAACTTGCTCAGGGTTCTGTGTCTGGGATACATGATCTAGGATCAGGTATCTAGCAAGTGGCAGAGCTGAGATGTGAGCCCAGGCTTGGGGGACCCCAAAGCAGGGACTCACTGTGATTCCCCCCCACAGCTGTGGCAGTTTGGGGAGTGGGTGGATGTGGTCGTGGATGACCTGCTGCCCACCAAGGACGGGAAGCTGCTGTTCGTGCACTCTGCCCAAGGCAACGAGTTCTGGAGCGCCCTGCTCGAGAAGGCCTATGCCAAGTGAGTAGGGGCCCCGGGGACAGCTGCAGGCCACCCTGGGTGTGGGGTCCTGCTTGGTGCCAGAGCGCTGACCTGGGGCCTCCCGCAGGGTGAACGGCAGCTATGAGGCCCTGTCGGGGGGCAGCACCTCAGAGGGCTTTGAGGACTTCACAGGCGGGGTCACCGAGTGGTACGAGCTGCGCAAGGCGCCCAGCGACCTCTACCAAATCATCCTCAAGGCGCTGGAGCGAGGCTCCCTGCTGGGCTGCTCCATTGACGTGAGTGCGCCCAGCCCGGACCCGTGTGCCCCGACCCTCACACCCTGATCCGGGACCTGAGTCTCCTCTTCCAGCAGTTCCCTCTCCCACCCCAGGCCAGCCTCATCCTTGCCCCAGGCTTGGCTCCAGACCCCACCCTTCACCTCACACCATCTCTGGATCTTCACCCAGCCTCATCCATCACTTCAGTCCCATCCTCCACCTCCACGCCTGGTGTCATTCCTGTCCCCGAAACCTCAGGCCTCAGCTTGTTTCCCGAGCTTCTGCTCCTCGGTCTTGGCATCTAACACCATGCCCATCTGCTGTCCAGTTGACCGGCCTCAGACCTCAGCTCTTCCCTGGTCCCAGCTCCTATGGGCCCCAGCCTCATCCTGTACTCACTCTATTCACTTCTTCTGCTCTTCTGTGCCCACAATTCATGCCCAGACCTCCCTCACCCTTGATCTCAGGCTCCACCCCCAACAGCACTACATCCTCAATTCTGACCCCATTCCCACCCTCTTCCCAGTCCTAGCTGACTCTAGCCTGTCCTCACCCCTCTTCTCCGCCTCACTGTGTCTGCACACGAGGCCTTCTGAGGGCCTGTGGCTCTGGGGCGGCTACACATGGCTGTGTGTGTGCACGTGTATGTTCGCATAGGGAGTGGCCAGCTCTGGCCAAAGCAGTGTCAGTGGGGTGCCCAGGCCCCCCACCAGTGGTAGTGATAGTGGAGTACCTTTCTAGGAGCAGTGTCTATATGTGGGGGTGATGGGCTAGATTGGGTCGAGGTCCCTGCCTGCCACTCCCAATAGCTGTTGTGTGTGTATAGGGGAATGTTCGAGACCCATGAGTGCTCGGGGCTCATCTCCTGACTGGGGGTGGGGACGCTGACCACAGCACATGTGTCTTTCTGCAGATCTCCAGCGTTCTGGACATGGAGGCGGTTACCTTCAAAAAGCTGGTGAAGGGCCACGCCTACTCTGTGACTGGGGCCAAGCAGGTACTGCCCCACGTGGCCCACCCTGCAGGGTGGTTCCTTCGTCCTTGTCTTTTTGGCCTGTGATCAGGGCTGTGGGAGGAGCTGGCTCTTCCTTGACCTCCTGCAGCACCTTATCTGTCTCCTGGGGACTCTTATCCTGAGATGTTTATCTTATCCTGTCCTGGTTTATTGCACTTTGTGTGCACAGCTGCCTCCCTCCTGTTGTAAATTCCTAGAGGACAAGCTGCATTTCCCATGTGTGATGTTGGGTGCTGAGCATGGCTTCGAGAGGGTGGGGTGGTGGGAAGGGGTGTTAAAGCGCATGCCAGAGCAGGCACTGACAGGACCTCTGGGGAGCAGGTGAACTACCGGGGCCAGATGGTGAACCTGATCCGGATGCGGAACCCCTGGGGTGAGGTGGAGTGGACGGGAGCCTGGAGTGACAGGTGAGGGACAGTGGCCACTGGCTGGGGAGGCTTGAGGAGGCTGTTCAGTGCCACTGGCATTTCTGCTTGGGGCTCTGCCAGCCAGGGGTGGGCTCAGGATTGAGCAGAGGGGCCCATCTTCATGTTACTGGGTCTGGGGACTGCCCTGACAAAGCATAGGCTGTGCGGGCCCCTGTGCCCAGCCTGGGAGCATCCTCAGCATCTGACCCGGCCCTGACAAGGCAACCCCTGGAACTGGGATCTTGGGGCTTAACCTTGAGGGGGCTCCTGACCTAGGCTAGGGGAGGACAGGCCCCAGGGACCGTGTCCACCAGCCCCTGGCAGTGCCCTTCTCCCCACAGCTCCTCGGAGTGGAACAATGTAGACCCTTATGAACGGGAGCAGCTCCGGGTCAAGATGGAGGACGGGGAGTTCTGGTGAGCAGCCTTCCCAGTCTGGCCCCTCTCAGGCCTTGCACCCCAGCTCCCAATCCCCACAAACCCAGCCTGTGCCGCATCCCTCTGTGCCCTGGCTGGGGGCCACGGCTTACCTCTGCCCCTTGACCCCTAGGATGTCATTCCGAGACTTCTTGCGTGAGTTCACCCGCCTGGAGATCTGCAACCTGACGCCTGACGCGCTCCAGAGCAGGAGGTTCCGAAAATGGAACACCATGCTCTATGAGGGCACCTGGCGGCGGGGGAGCACCGCAGGGGGCTGCCGGAACTACCCAGGTGACCTGACCGTGTGGGCACAAAGGGCGTGCAGGGTTGGGTCTGGGCTGTGCTGCCTCCTGGCTCGAGGGCCTCAGGCAAGGCAGGTCTTCGCACTGAGCCTCAGTTTCCTCACTTGTAAGATAGGGATAGTTGTGCTGACCTCTCGAAGTTGCTTTAAGGAGTAACATATTGAATGTCCTCGTAAGGAGGCCATTCTAAAGAGCCACACTTGGCACAGCATCCTAGGGCCTGAGCCCAGGGTGCTAATACGGGGAGAAGACTTTGTTGCCATCCAGCCACCTTCCTGTCACTCTTTAGGCTGAGACCTTCCTCCTGGCCCACTGTCTTCCTCCCTGATCCTTCTGTCACCTTTCCCTGGGTTTCTAGATCTATGACTTGGTCCACAGCCTGGCCTCCCAGTTCTTTGCCATCCTCACCTGCAGCAACCTTTTCCTTCACCTTAGTTCAGCCACCACCCTGAGGACACACCCTTCCAAAGGTGCCACTCTGACCTCCACCCTTGACCCTTTAGCTTCCTTTTTTTTTTTGAGGAAGATTAGCCCTGAGCTAACATCTATTGCCAATCCTCTTTTTTTTCTTTGATGAGGAAGACTGGCCCTGGGCCAACATCCATGCTCATCTTCCTCTACTTTACATGGGACGCTGCCACAGCATGGCTTGACAAGTGGTGCGAAGGTCCGCACCCAGGCTCTGAACCTGCGGACCCCGGGCCGCTAAAGTGGAGCGCGGGAACTTAACCGCTATGCCACTGGGCTGCCCTGACACTTTAGCTTCCTTACTCTGCAGTCCTCAGCCTGTTGAACTATCTAACTGTTGAACTCACTATTGCACCATCCTTCATCTCCCTTCTTGTCTTCTCTCCTTACCCGGTTTAATCTTGTCCCTGCAAACACTCTCAGTTTCCTGGCTCCTGTCTCCCTCTGTTCCTCTCACCTGGCACAAACACAATCCTAGTTGAACCCTCTCCACCGGCTCTGGAACCATTGAATGTGGCTGGAGAGAAAGCACACAACCAGGGCAGGGTAAATTCATAGCCACAAACCTCAAATGACCGCCTGGCATGGTCCATAGCAATTCCACTACTAGTTAGTAATGTCCCCACTCTCTTCTCAAACGGCCCTTTGCTATTACTCTCATCTGCGGACCTGGCCTTGTACTTCATTGAAAGATAGACCTCATCACGCAGGACTCCCCCCTCATATTCCCACCTCCAAATCCCCCAGCCTGTCTGGACCTGTGCCCATCTTTACTGCTTTCCTGCCTGTGACAGTGGTAGGACTGTCTCTGCTCACGGGGACCCCCACACCTCTGCTCTGGATCCCATTCTCCCTCACCTTCATCCATCACCTCTCACTCCTGTCATCATGGAGAATCACCTGTCTTAAAGCAGCCCTCTCTTGACCCCACTTCCCCACCCATTTCTCTGCTCCCCTTCAAGGCAAAGTATCTCAGGAATTGCCACACTCCAGGAATCGCCACACTCCGGTTCCTTTCTCACTTCCGGTTCAGTTTTTAACCCCCTCCAATCCAGGCTCCATCCTCACCACGCTGCTGAAATTGTTCTTTTGAAGGGGACTCTCAGCTTTGGCTTCGCCAAATACTCCACCGCTCTGTTCTCGGGTCCTGCATCCTCCAGCTGTTCTCGACACGGCTCACAGCCTTCTGTTTTGAAGAATTCTTCTCCCTCATAGGGATCCAATTTCAGTTTTTCTCCAAATAGATAACCACTGTTTCCTGTACTATTTATTGAGAAATCTGTCCTTGCTCCATCATATAGCTTCCATATATGTATGGATCTGTTTCTGGGCTTGTCATTCTGTCACTTGATCTCTCCCTCTGCCAATAGCACATTGATTTCATCACTATAGATTTATGAGAAGTCTTACTATTGGACAGGGTAAATTCCTTCTTCAAGAGTCTCTTAGCTATTCTTGCCCTTTGTTTTTCCATATGAATTTTAGAATCAGCTTACCAAGTCCTACGAAAAACCATTTGAGATTTTAATTTGGAATTACATTGAATCTATAGACCAATTTGGGGAGGACTGGCATCTTTACAATTTTGAGTCTTATCCAAGAATGTGGTATATTTCTATTTATTTTGGCCTTCTTTAATGTCTTTCAATAAAATTGTATAATTTCCATCATAAAGGGCTTATACATCTTTTGAGATTTATTCCTAGACACTCTATCATCTTGTTGCTATTCTAAGTGGTAGCTCTTTTAAAATTGCATCTCCTTAGTAATAGTTGCTGATACAGTAACATGCCTTTTAAATTTATTGTTGACCTTTTAAATTTATTTTGTATCTGGCAAACTTGTTAAACTGTAATTAATTTTACTGATTTCTCTGTAGATTCTTTTCGGTTTTCTAATTGACAATATAGTATCTGTAAATATGATAAATTTGTTTCTTCTTTTCCAATTCTTCTAACTTCTGTTACGTTTTCTTGTTTAATATGATGGCCAGGACTGTAGAGGGTTGAATAGGAGTGTGATGATTAACTTTTGATATTAAATATTTTCAGTGGTGATAGGAGTATTAGGTTGTCTATTTCCTGTTGAGCTTATTTTGATGAGTTATATTTTCTAGTTTATCCTTTGCATCTGTTTTCAAAATTATTAGTGTAACGTTATCTTTAATATAGTCTGATACTTCATCTGTGAAGATATATCTTCTCTTTTATTCATAGTGTTGCTTATTTGCATGCCTCTTTTGTCTTTATTAATCCTGTTTGAGATTTGTCAATATTAGACTTTACAAAGAAAGAACTTTTGACTTTGTTAATCCCTTGTATAGTATTTTTTTCTATATCATTAATCTTTGCTTTTCTGTTCATTATCTCATTCCTCTGCTTTCTTTGGATTTCTTTTTAGACTTTATTTTATGACCTTAAATTAGATGCTTATCTCATTAATTCGAGTTATTTTTTTTTTCTATGTAAGCACCTAAAACAGTAAATTTCCCTCCAAGTATATCTTAATTCCAGAACATTTTCACTACCCCAAAAGAAACCCTCCATTAGCGGTCACTCCCTTCCCTGTCCCCTCAACCACTGGCAACCACTCATCTAATTTTTGCCTCTACAGATTTGCCTATTTTGGACATTTCATATAAATGGAATCATATAATATGTGGCCTTTTGTGCCTGGCTTCTTTCCCTTAGCATAATGTTTTCAAAGTTCATCTGTGTTGTAGTGTGTATCAGTACTTCATTTCCTTTGTATGGCTGAATGATATTCTATGGTATGGATATATCACATTTTGCTTATTTATTCATCAGTTGACAAGTTGTTTCCAGTTTTCGGCTATTACGAGTAAAATGCTGCTGTGAACATTCATGTACATGTGTTTCTGTGAGCGTATGTTCTCTTGGTCTATAAGTAAGAGTGGAATTGTTAGGTTGTATGGTAACTCCATGTTTAACTTTTTGAGGAACTGCCAACTGTTTTCCAAAGTGGCAGCACATTTTACATTCCCACTAGCAATGTATGAGGGTTCCAACTTCTCCACATTCTCATGAACACTTGTTATCGTTCATCTTTTTTGTTACAGCCATCCTAGTGGGTGTAAAGTGGTATCTCATTGAAGTTCTGATTTGTTTTTCCATAGCGACTAATGATGTTGAGTGTCTTTTCATGTGTTTATCTGCCACTTGTATATCTTTTGTGGAGTGTCTATTCAAATAGTTTGCTGAGTTTTAGATTGGATTATTTGTCTTTTTATTGTTGAGTTGTAAGTGTTCTTTATATATTCTGGATATGACTCTTATGAGATAGATGATGTGCATATATTTTCTCCCATTCTGTGGTTGTCTTTTTATTTTCTTGACAGTATCCTTTGAGGCACAGAAGTTTTAAATTTTGATGATGCCCTATTTTCTATTTTTTCTTTTCTTGCTTATATGCTTTTGTGTCATATGTAAGAATCCATTGCCAAATCAAAGGTCATGAAGATTTATCCCTGTTTTCTTCTAAGAGTGTTATGGTTTTAGCTCTTACATTTAGGTCCTTGATCCATTTTGAGTTAATTTTTGTACATGGTGTGAGGTAGGTGCCATCTTAATTCTTTTGCATGTGGATATCCAGTTGTCCTAGCACCATCTGTTGAAAAGATTGTTCTTTTCTCTATTGAATGGTTTTGGCACCATTCAATGTCAAAAATCAATTGGCCATCAATGTATGGATTTATTTTTGGACTCTCAGTCCTATTCTTTTAGTCTAGATCTCTATTCTTATGCCAGTACCACACTGTTTTGATTACTGTAGCTTTGTACTAAGTTTTGAAATCAGGAAATGTAAGTCCTCCAACTTTGTTCTTTTTCAAAGTTGTTTTGGGTTCTGGATCCCTTCCAATTCTATATGAATTTGAGAATCTGCTTTTCCACTTCTGTGAAAAAGGATGTAAATGAATTGTTTTCTTAATTTCCTTTTTGGATTGTTCATTGCTGATGTATAGAAACACAACTGATTTTTGCATCTTGATCTTGTAAGTTGCAACTTTGCTGAATTTGTTATTAGCTTAGTAACTTTGTTACTAAGAATTATTTTCTTCTTCCTTTCCAATTTGGATGCCTTTTATTTCTTTTTCTTGACTAACTGCTCTAGCTAGAACTTCCCGTACAATGTTGAATAGCAGTGGTGTAAGTGGGCATCTTGTTCCTATCTTAGGGGGAAAACTTTCAGTCTTTCACCACTATGATATTAGCTGTGGGTTTTCCATAAATGCCCTTTATTATATTGAGGAAGTTTCCTTTTATTCCTAATTTTCTGAATGTTTTTATCGTGAATGTGTGTTGGATGTTGTCAGATGCCTTTTCTGCATCAACCAAGATGATCATGTGTTTTTTCCCTTTGTTCTCTTAATGTGGTGTATTACATTGATTGATTTTCTTATGTTGAACTCGTTGAACTATCCTTGCATTCCTAGGATAAATCCTATTTCATGGTGTGTAATTTTTTTAAACATATTGTTGGATTTGGTTTGCTAGTATTCTG